CTGCAGATGTTTGAAGACACTTAGAGAGGTCAAAGGTCGAGAGCTTCAGATCTTTTTACAAGATGTTCCAGGAAACAGGAGCGGAGTAGGAGAAGGTCCTTTTGTCTAGTTCAGTCCTCACTGAGGGAACACTGCAGGTAATGATGTCCTGAGAGCGCACGCTGTAGCTGCACTCACACAGAGACATGTAGGAGGAGATGTATGAAGGCAGCAGACCAGGAAGTGATTTAAAGATGGAGCTGTAGCAGCGCGTTGGTGAGAAGTCGTTTAACGTCATCGTGTCACTCGAGCTTTTCTGTTGTGAAGACAGAAGTGACGCTGTCCACAGGTTCTGTCCCGTTTGACACCTGGTGTGTGTGTCCACAGGTTCTGTCCCGTTTGACACCTGGTGTGTGTGTCCACAGGTGGAGTGTGTGCTGGAGACCAGAGACAAGGCTCAGAGTGTCCAGCTGAGGAGGACTCTGAAGGAGCGCTACACCTCCATATCCTGGTTGGAGCAGCGGTCAGAACAAGCTCCACTGCAGACAGAGAAGACCTAGATGTTGTTTAAGGTTCTGAGCTCGTTCCTGCAGAGCTGGGCCGGACTCGTGATCATAGAGTAATCTGAACCAGAACCAGCAGACCCACTTAGCCCTGGAGGAAGATTTACTTTCCATTTTAAATTGTCTGAACGGTGGAATCACAGCAGCTGGACCATCTTGTCGGCGCGTGGAGCAGGTGTACACGTCACGTCTGGGTGGATGCTCCTAATGTTTGACCCCACGACCCGGTTCTGCTGCCTCTTCCAGAACCTTCTGCAGGAAGTCTGTCCCCGTCACACACCATGACAGAAAGAAACACGTGGCGGCTGCCAAGTCTGTTGTATGAAACTAGCATGACTCCAGCAAACGTCACGTGACGTCACGTGTCAGCGGGCAGTTAAAGGGATAGTTCAGGGTCTTAAAAATGAGGGTCTGTGGTCAAGTTGCAGTTGTGATGTTACTGAAATAAAAAGTGAAGTTCCACAAAGTGCACGTTGGAAATGACTCTTTATTTTTAAAACTCAGCATAAAGTCCAAGCGCCTGAGAAAGAAAAGGACTGAACGTGAACTCGTGTCCAACAAAAGGTCAACGAGCCTCGGAGCAACTCGGAGCTTTTCTTCTAAATCCTCGAACATTTGCTGCTGTTAATATTTAAAATGTGTTCAAACACAACATTCCTTAAAGAGTAAAGTAGAAGAATGGTCCACGTTTGTGCAGTGAAATCACATGGAATGATCAATTATCCATAAATTACATTAAACGTTACAATAATTATAGTTTTAAAGAGAACTGAACATTTTTATACTTTAAACTTAAACTAGTTCTTGTTCTCTACAGCAGGAAGGGTCTCATGCAGCTGCATCTGTAGCTGGTGCCGCCTCCTCCTCCTCCTCCTCCTGCCGCCTCCTCCTCCTCCCTCCTCCTCCTCCTCCTCCTCCTGCCGCCTCCTCCTCCTGCCGCCTCCTCCTCCTCCCTCCTCCTCCTCCTCCTGCCGCCTCCTCCTCCTGCCGCCTCCTCCTCCTCCCTCCTCCTCCTCCTCCTGCCACATCCTCCTCCCTCCTCCTCCAGCCTCCTCCTGCCTCCTCCTTCTGCCGCCTCCTACTCCTCCTGCCAGAGTTCAATGCTGTTTGGGTCGCTCTGGGTTGAACTTGAGGAGGAGGCCGAGGGAGGCGAAGCCAAACAAGAGGGTCTGGAAGAACCACAGGCAGCGAGCGGTTGGGCTGGAGATGCCCTTGTTGCTGCAGAGAAACAGGAAGTGAACATGAATTCCGTGAACATGAATTCCGTGAACATGAATTCAGTGAACATGAATTCCGTGAACATGAATTCAGTGAACATGAATTCGGTGAACATGAATTCGGTGAACATGAATTCGGTGAACATGAATTAGGTGAACATGAATTCCGTGAACATGAATTCCGTGAACATGAATTCGGTGAACATGAATTCGGTGAACATGAATTCGGTGAACATGAATTCGGTGAACATGAATTCCGTGAACATGAATTCCGTGAACATGAATTCGGTGAACATGAATTCGGTGAACATGAATTCGGTGAACATGAATTCGGTGAACATGAATTCAGTGAACATGAATTCAGTGAACATGAATTCAGTGAACATGAATTCAGTGAACATGAATTCAGTACAGCCTCAGGGTGTTTTGATTCATTCATTTAAAAGAAATAAGAAACAATGGTTAGAATGAACAGGTGCAGAAAGAAGAAGAAACATTTAATAATATCTGCTCCTTATTAAAAAATATGAACTAACTTCAAACAAGAAGTCAGGCTTGAACAATCTCTAAAGTGAAAACAAGAAACATCATGTCTTCACATGGTATCATACTTTACTAACAACTTTAACTTGTTCATCTTTTTAAACATTAATTGTTTTATAATGTTTATGATGATGTCACGTCCTGTTCCTGAACTACGACGCAGCTCCTTCACACCACTTCTAACTGGAGGTTTTACAAACATTTACATTCTCTTAAAGTTATAAAAACTCTTTTCTAACACATTTTAATTGAATATTTGGGGCTAATATTTTTATGAGCTTTATACGTGATTTGTAAAATACTATATTCAAATAAATCATCAAATTTGAATAATTTCAACAGATGAAACAACATATTTGTTGGGTGACCACAGCGCTTCCTACTAATAATTATTATCGCTTTTTGTTGTGAAATAAAAATAGTGTTTCTAATAGTTTTGCATGCTTTTCCCCAAACTTCAGTACAATACATTAAATATGGAACAATCATTACATTATACAATATATATTCAAAGCTTTGTCATTCAAAAACTTTTACTTTATACAGTAATGCATTTGATTATTTTTATTCTTAAGTAATTTACATGAGATTTCCACGTCAGCTTCTCATCAATAACCACACCCAAACATTTTATTTCATTAACTCTATGAATTTCAATACTGTCAGTTTTAAATGGGGCTTCAATCATTTTCTTTCCATTATTAAATATCATGTAGTTTGTTTTTTTCCAAATTTAATGATAACTTGTTAAGTTGGAACCAAGTTTGTATTTTTATGAATTCTACCTGTATCATCTCTAACATCTGTTCTATATCTTCACCCCAACAATAAAATGTATCATCTGCAAATAACACACATCAAAAGCCCTGACACATCAACCACATCATTCACATACAAAATAAACAACTTTGTCCCCAACACAGAGCCCTGAGGAACTCCACATCCAATAACAACATTCTGAACGTACATTGTTTACCTGTGCAACTGTCTCCTAGTGTGGTGCTAATCCTCTAATGCCGTATTTATTCAGTGTTTCAAGGAGAATTATAATAGTGTGAAAACACAATTATTACAGCCTTGGGGTTATAACACGTGGCTCTCGTCAAGCTAGTTCCAAAGTTGTGTGGCGGCAGGCTCTGGGTGCATGAGATCCACCCTGATTTCCTTAAAGCTCTGGATGTTGCAGGCTGTCTTTGTTCACATGACTTTGCAACACGGAGTGGACATAGAGGTGGTTCCCCTGTTCAACAAGGGGGACCGGAGGGCGTGCTCCAATTATAGGGGCGTCCATGGTAAGGTCTATTCAGGGTACTGGGGGAGTGGTGGCGCAGAGCTTACAAGATGGGCCTGTGATCGGAAAGTCGCAGGTTCAACTCCCGGTACCGTCAACATCAAAATGTGGGTGGAAAAGGTGGAACACCCACACCTGCCTCCACCCTCATTGGCCCCACTCTGGCCCTTAACCCCCACCATCTGCTCCTAAACTGGTCTCTCTAGAAAATGGGTTCTCGTGGCTCAATGAGTCTACCTGGATAAATAAAGAGTAAATGAAACAAAAAATTACAACTCAACAGAATATGAAAGTGTTAGCATTGAAATTTACAAATTAAAAAGAATTGGACATCTTAAGATAATGAATTTTTATAACCCGTGTAAAAACCTAGAAAGTGATTTATTGAAGAAAATATCTGGAGGGATAAACAGGAGAGAAATGTGGTGCGGAGACTTCGATGCACAGAATAACTTAAGGGGTAGAGCTAAACAGTAACGCAACATTATTGAAGAAATGATGGATCACTGGTTTGTCTTTATGATGGTCAAGACTCAAGATTTAATATCAATAAAGGTTCCGTGTCATGGTTAGATTTAATCTAGTCTCAGATAATCTTGTAAAATCATGTGACTGGAGACTCTACACTGGGGAGTGACCACTTTCCAATCAGCACAATCATCAATGACAACAGAACCAATCAAGAGGAAATAACCTCAAGCAGATGCTGCTTTACTAAAGCTGACTGGGAAACATTAAACTAATTGTGAGAAGACTGGTCTCTTAGTCGAGCTTAAAGGAAATATAGACAGATGCAACAACCAGGAAACAGAACTCATTTAAATGCAGCAAATTCAAATAGTCCAAACGTAGTTTTGAAAAGAAAAGTCAAAAGTGGTTCCACGGTGGAACGATGAATGTAGAAACAAGGCTCTAAAAACTTTACAGAAAAATCAGACGAGAGAAAACCTTAGAGTTCAAAAAGAAAAGGGCAGTAGCTCGTAGGACCATTAAAGAGGCCACAAAGAAAACTTGGAGGGAGTACTGTTCGTCCACAGGTTATAAAATTAATTTACAACAGGTGTGGACAATGATTAAGAAAACGAGTGGGAAAAGAAGTGAGGTTAAAATTCCAGCTCTGATTAAAAAATAACGAGATAATGTTTCTGATAAAGACGAGGCTGAGTCTGTGGGTGAGGCTGCAGTCCACAGTGGAGAACATCTGGGAAACGATCAGAGGAAGCAGAAGGAACAAAAACTCAAATCATTCAGTAACGGAGGTCAGAAGAAAAACAGATCCATGTCAACTCTTGATGAACAGAGAACTATGAAAGGAATCAAAATGGTGTTAAAAGATATTCAGCTCCAGGAGAGGACAGCCTGTGTTGTGTCATGTTTAGACATCTACCGGAAACTACGTTAAATATCTTTTTAAAACTATTCAATAAAATATGGAAAGAAGGAACATTACCACAGAGCTGGAAAAGAGCCATAATTCTCCCATTTAATAAACCAGGGAAAGATCCAACAAGCTCAGACAACTACAGACCCATAGCATTAACTTCTCATTTATGTAAACTGATGGAGAAATATTAATTAACAGATTAATGTACGTCCTGGAAAAAAGAGAACTTATTGGTAACTACCAGTGTGGTTTTAGAACTGGTCGGTCCACAGTAGATGCTCTGGTAAGAGTGTGTAATATGAAAAAACACTAAAAATGAAAGAAATGATGATCATAGTTTTCTTTGACATATAAAAAGTTTATGATTCCATGTGGAGGGAAGGGCTGCTAATAAAACCAGAACAAATGGGAATAGATGGGAGGATGTATAACTGGATTACCAGCTTCTTTCAGGATAGGACAATTAAAGTAAAAGTTGGGGGTGAATTATCAAGACACTTCAAAGTGGAAAACGGCACCCCTCAAGGCAGTGTAATTGGTCCAGTTTTATTCAACGTTATGATTAACGACATATTTGCAAATCTTGACAGAGGCATCAGATCAGCTTTATATGCAGATGATGGAACAATATGGATGAGGGGGAGAAATGTGCCACATGTCGTTAAAAACATAAGAAAAGCAGTTAATCAAATAGAGAGCTGGTCGTATGAATGGGGTTTCAAA